AAGTGGAATCCTGCGTTATCAGTAAACGCGGGTAGCACAGCCTGTGGTTAGCAGACTTGAACGAGGCCAAGTGTGAGTTTGAAGGAGGCAGTAGTTGATGAGATATTCAGGCAACCTGGCGCGTTCTGGGTAGTTCGGATGATGATGACGATGATGATGATGATCATCATCATCATCATAATCATCATCATCCACCAACTGTTGCTGTCCCCCGATGAGGGCTTTGAACGTGAAGGTGAAACGACAGGGGAAAACGTCTGTTTGTTCCGACGAGTACGTCTCCGTCTTCGTAATTTGAGGAAGTCTCCGTCGGGGGCGAAAAGTTTGCGCTTTATTGCAAACGCAGGCATGACAGGCAGAGGGAAGTCGGAGCTAATGTGGTAATGTGGGACTGGCGAATGCAAGCAGGGAGAAGGTGATAATGTCACAAAATGCTGCTTCGTTCGATTGAAACGTTAGCGATAGGACTAGCAGTTGGTGCTAGGAGTAGGCTTGAGGGCTAAAACTAGACCAGAGGTTAGGGCTCGGGCTAGAGCTATGGGTTAGTTTTGGAGGTTAACGTTAGGGTTAGGGTCAGAGGTTAAGAGTAGGAGGTAGAGTTAGGGCTTTTAGGTTGGAGGTAGGTTATCAATATTGCCAACTGCAATTTTCTCTCCAGTCGCAGCCACCAGGAGCGTCGACGATATATCCTTCACACATTTCCCTTCAATATGATTGAAGTTCAGTCTGGTTTGAATATCAAACCAATGTCCCCACAGCTACTTCAGGTTGCGAACTCGCTCCTTAAGGCTTTTGTAGTGTATTTTAACATACGAGCAGTAGGTCGAAAAAAATTGGCGACAAAAACTAGGGAGACTGGAATGCCCATTTCGGGCTCATCAGTCGTCATAAGCCAGGCATACCCAACACCAGGTGTTGTACCACCCAAGACATGGAATTCTGATCAACAGATCACGGACTCGAACCTCGGGTAGTGCACTACACGGGGTTGGTTATGAGTGGCTGATGAGAGCTAATGAACCTGAAATGGCCATTACAGCCCCCTTGTCTTTGCCGCCAATGCCCCCTTGTAACTGTTTCATTTCGTCAGGAATTAATCTCTCGTGGCCATCTTTTAGGTGGAGATGCACCCGCCGAAGAAAGCAGTGGCGATCCAGTACAAGATGAATGTA